TACTGTCCCAGCAGGTCCTGCCTCCCAGGCCTGGGTGTTGTGGCTGATGAGACTGTTAGTGTGCCCTCTGAGAGGCAGAGGAGAGGTCAAGTAAATTTTGGGGAGATGGCGGGGGGAGGCACGTAGGGTAGGACAGTGCTTTAGATCATCGTTTCTCATCCCAATAGGTGGACAAGGGCGTGGTGCCCCTGGCTGGAACAAATGGCGAGACCACCACCCAAGGTGAGGACTGTTGAGCTCCTTCCTCTTCCCACGCAGCCCGCCAGGCTGGGGCTTAGCTTAGGCAAGAGTAAGTGGAGCCCCACGGCACATTTCCTCCATGTTCGGTCCTCGTCTCCTCTCCAGGGCTGGATGGATTATCCGAGCGCTGTGCCCAGTACAAGAAGGATGGAGCTGACTTTGCCAAATGGCGTTGCGTGCTGAAGATCGGGGAGCACACCCCCTCCGCCCTCGCCATCATGGAAAATGCCAATGTTCTGGCCCGTTATGCCAGTATCTGCCAGCAGGTGGGATTGGACTGCAGGTCCTACCTCGTTCGAGTGCAGGCTAGCTTGCTGACCATCTGCTAGCATACCTCCCCCACAACAACTGTTGCCAATACTTAGCAAGTAGTAGTAGGCCGCATGGAGGCTACTCGGCCAGGCCGAAGGGCAGAGTAGGGATTGTGGGGGCAGAGCTGAGATTTGTTTTGCCCGTAATTTACTGAGCTTTGAAGCCTTGAGTCCCGCAAGATAACATCTGGGCTGGTGGCTGTGGTAACTATAGGGTGGGGTACAACTCTGTCCCTCTCACCACAGAATGGCATTGTGCCCATTGTGGAGCCTGAGATTCTCCCTGATGGGGACCATGACTTGAAGCGCTGTCAGTATGTAACCGAGAAGGTACGTGACCAATCCTGCCTGGCTGGGTCTGAGCTCTTGAATGATTGGTCCTCTACCCCACCACGTACCTCGGTCCTGTCTGGCTCCAGGTGCTGGCTGCTGTCTACAAGGCTCTGAGTGACCACCACATCTATCTGGAAGGCACCTTGCTGAAGCCCAACATGGTCACCCCAGGCCATGCCTGCACCCAGAAGTACTCCAATGAGGAGATTGCCATGGCCACTGTCACAGCGCTGCGCCGCACTGTGCCCCCTGCGGTCACTGGTGAGGCCCGTCCCCTCACCCCCGGCCTCAGGGAGGGGGAGACACAGCAGCTGACCACCACCTTGGATCCCAGTCGGTCTGCTGTGAAAGGCACTTCCTAGCTGCTACCCCCAAGCCCCATCTCTGACTCAAGTCCTGCCCTTGTTCTCCAGGGGTCACCTTTTTGTCTGGTGGACAGAGTGAGGAAGAGGCAACCATCAATCTCAATGCCATCAATAAGTGTCCCTTGCTGAAGCCATGGGCCCTGACCTTCTCCTATGGCCGAGCTCTGCAGGCCTCTGCTCTGAAGGCCTGGGGTGGGAAGAAGGAGAACCTGAAGGCGGCCCAGGAGGAGTATGTCAAGCGAGCTCTGGTAAGGCTGTGGGGAAGGCAGGTGGGCATCTGGCAAGTGGGAGGGCTCTGATGGGAAACCTCACTCTCCTCCTTCCTTTCCCCTCCTAGGCCAATAGCCTCGCCTGTCAAGGAAAGTACACTCCAAGTGGGCAGGCTGGGGCTGCAGCCAGCGAGTCCCTGTTCGTCTCCAACCATGCCTACTAAGCTGAGGTGTTGCTAGTAAGCTGAGGTGTTGCTACTAAGCTGAGGTTTAAGCTGCCCCCTCGACACTCCAGGCCCCCCCCGCTCCACCCACTCCCTCTGGAGGAGTGGGCCTCATCAGGACTCCAGGCTCTTCCCCATCATTCTTGCCTCCTCTGTGACTTGGTGTGTGGTGTTGTCTGTGAGCGCTAACTCCATCACCCCTTCCAGCCCACTGCCAATAAACAACTCTTGAAGGGGGAGTCTGTCTGTTTTGTGGCTTTTAGGGTGGTGTGGAGTGGTAGACATGGCTGAGGCCAGAAAAGGAAAGAGCCCTTGTCTTGTGCTAATACTCCCTAGGAAGGAGAAGGACAAAAATAGTGGGTAGGACCTTCCTGCTTTGTTTTTTACATGACCAGGGCTTTGAGAACGATGGAGTAGCGCTTTCCAGGCCGGGAGGCTGCAGCCTTGGCCTCACTCAAGGGTGCTGAAGGCCACCATGGCAAAGTTAGCTACCCCTGTGAAGGCCAGCCTCTCCTGCGTGCTGTGAAGCATGAGCTCCAGCTTAAGCGTAGTATGTTTTGCAATCCTGAAATTGTACTGTTCCTTGATGAAAGCAGGATATTTAACCTATTACCTCCTCAGCTACATTCTTTAGCTGTTTTTCCATTTTAAGGGGAGTTGATAGCCCACTTCTATGATATCAACTACTGATCAAAGAGTCTGTCTGAAAAACAAAGGTTGAGCCCAGCAATATAGCACCTGCCTACCAAGTGCAAGGCCCTGAGTTTAGACCCCTGTGTTGCCGTTAATCAGGGGGCCAGCACTGGGGATTTGCCTCAGAAGTGGGAGGATGCTTGCCTAGCATAGCAAGCCAAAGGCCCTGAGTTCAAATCCTGGCACTGACAATGCTGGGATTTAAAGTGGATTAGTTTCATTTAGGCAATAGAACCCTCCATAATGCAGGGCACCTTGAACACCTTGAAGCTCTGTCGTGGAGCTCAGGCCGCAGGTTAAGAACCAAGCTTCTGAGTTGCATTCTGTGAAGTTAAAGTGAGGGCCCCATGTTTATCCCCTGCCTTGAACACTTGCCAACATCCAGTCTTGGGTGTAGTAGCAGCTACACCAGTTTATAACTGCTGCAGATCCTGATTGAAATGAGGGAACTGGTTAGTCTTGCTGTTTAATTTCCTGCAACCTCCCTGCTCTTTCCTGGTCCGGGAAGGATCCAGACCAGGAAATATTGACCTACACACTTATGGAATTGCAGTGATCCTCATAAAATTAACTTCCAACTATCTAGGAATTTAGAAACCTGATCTCCTTCCTATATGCACCTTTGCTTTCATCCAAAACCAAGCCCTGGTCGGATATATAACTCAGTAATAAACTACCTAGCATTTACAAGACTAGATTCACCCCTAGAACGGTTAGAAACCCCCCCAAACCTGTCTCTAGTACTCAACTTTCAAAAATTTAGAAACTTGGAGTCTTTAATCCCAGCTGTTAGGGAAGTGGGTACCTTGGCTAGTGGCCAGTCTGGGAAAAAAGATGCCCTGCCCCCATTTCAATAAGCTGGACCTGGTGGTACATAGTCAAAAATAGACCCTACCTGGAAAAACAAAGCTGGGGGGCTGGGAAGGTGGCTCAGTGGTAGAGCGCTTGCCTTGCATGCTCGAGGCCCTGGGTTCGATTCCTCGGCCCCCCTTAGGAAAAAGAAAAAAGCCGGAAGTGGCGCTGTGGCTCAAGTGGTAGAGCACTGGCTTGAGCTGAAGAGCTTAGGGACAGTGCTCTCAAGCCCAGAGTTCAGGCCCCATGACCGGACCCAAAAAAAAAAAAAAACAAAGCTGGGGCAGCTCAAGTTCGCTTCAGAAGCTGGGCAAAGGAGCTACCTCTCAGGAGGCTAAGATCTGAGGATCATAGTTTTTTGTTGTTTTCTGGTCATGGGGCCTGAACTCTGGGCCTGCGCAATGTGCTTCAGCTCTTCACCTCAAGGCTAGCGCTCTACCACTTGAACCACAGTGCCACTTCTGGCTTTTTCTGCTTATGTGGTGTTGAGGAATCAAACCCAGGGCCTCATGCATGCAAGGCAAGTACTCTACCACTAAGCCAACTTCCTAGCCCCCCCACTTTTGTTTTGTGGGTCGTGGGGTTTGAATTCTGGCCTTGGGTGGTGTTCCTCTGCTCTTCAGCTTACATACTACCACTTAAGCCATAGCCTCCACTTGTGTTTTTTCTAGTGGTTTATTGGAGATGAGTTTCATGGAGTTTCCTGCCTGGGCTGGCTTTGAACCATGATCCTCAGATCTCAGCCTCCTGGGTAGCTAGGATTACAGGCACGAACCACTAGTGCCCAGCTAGATCATGGTTTGAAGCCAATCCAGGCAGAAGTCCATGAAACTTATCTGTGTGGCTCAAGTGGTAGAGCAGCCAGCCTTGAGTGGAAAAAGCCAAGCAAAGGCACCAGGCCCTGAGTCCAAGCCTCAGTACCAGCACACACAAAATTCTAGTTACTACAAAGAATATTGCAAAAGGGAACATTAGTACAAATGCACAAAAACTGGGAGGTCACAGGTAAACATTTGAAGGTATATGGGTTACTCCGCCTACAAGATACTAGGGAAGAAGCGGACTTGTGATATGACAGTTTGGAGGGTGTTTCTGCCTTCATTTTATAACAAGCTGCTATCCAGAAACCTGGGAATGGGGAGGTGTGAGGCACAGGACACTGGAGCTACGAACAGTTTTCCTGGGTTCAAATCTCAAGCCTCTGACCTAGTGTCCTCCTTAGGAAGAAAGAAAGGAATTTTCAGGCCAAAGCAAGCGGCGCAGGAGTGTGGCGTGCGAGGGGCTGCGCTGATGCGGGCGCAGGCACGGGGTGGGACGGGCGGGCTCCTGGTTAGGTGCTCAGGCTGTAAGTGCTGGGGCTGCAGGCGTGCACCACCACGCCCGGCCTGAGCGGCCTAACGCCCGAGCTGCTCCAGGATGAAGATCGGGGCTGCTATGTCTTCACCGAACAAATGCTTATGAATGCCTACAGCCATGGCCCTCGTAAACCCTGCTGCTGCCGTCGTGGGCCTGCAGTGGGGGGGATGGAGGGGGGAGAGGCGACAAGAACCCCCCCGCAGGACCCGCCTCCCGCGCTGTCCCCAGACTGAACCGTCCGTGGTGAGTCTGGAGGACTAACGGTCTGGGCAGAGGCGACTTCCGGTTCCTTGCACCTCCCCCATTCTCCGCCCAGAGAGCGATTGGAAGGGCGCGGCGAGGGCGGGGACGTGTGTATGACGTCACGTCCGGCGCACGGCGGAACTGGCCTCCCTTTGCTTCCGCGGCGGGGCCGGAAGTAGAAGCGGCTGTGGCGGCGGCCCAAAGCGGAGGGAAGGAGGGAGGCAGGAAGCCGGAGAGCCCGAGCCGGGGTCGCAGCGGCGCGGTAAGAGTCGCGGATCCCTCCAGGCCACCGTCGCCAGCGCGGGGTCGCGGGGTTCGACGGGAGTTAGCGGGGCCTGCGGCCTGGGCGGTGGGACGCTGGGGGTCCCGGCGCCGATGTGAGGGGAGGCCGGGGCGGGGGGCGCCGGGTCGGCCCCAGAATCCAGTCGCCCCCCCCCCCGCGCCCCGTGCGTACACGCTGACCCGCGAGCTCGTCTTCGCCTTCCCCAGGAGACCCCTGTGCGGCGCGGAGGGGGCGGCGGCCCCGACTCTGACCCGCGCCGGGGGGAGAGCGGTGGGCCATGGCGGAGATCAGCGACCTGGACCGGCAGATCGAGCAGCTGCGGCGCTGCGAGCTCATCAAGGAGAGCGAAGTCAAGGCCCTCTGTGCCAAGGCCAGGTGAGCCCGGCGGGCTCGGGGCTGGGGGGGGGGGCTCCTGGGGCCGAGCTGGTAGACGGCTGTGGTCCAAAGCACTGTGCCCGGGGGGGGGGGGGGGGTCCGGGGCGGGGACATGCCCAGCGGAGGACTTGGGGGGTTTGTCCCATTCTGGCAGCGTCCCCCAGAGGAGCCAGGCTTAGGACCGCCAGCCTCGAGGGACAGTTTTATGTGCCGAACAAGGATAATAACACTTCGAAAAGTAGTAGATGGTGTGTTGCCAGTGGAGTAAAAAGTTGTAGAAAGTTTTAAGAAAGTCAGGGAGGGTCCCAGATCTATGTCGAGGCCAACGGGGAAGACTTGTTGGAGCAGCCTGGAAGAATAAAGGTGATACAGGAGCTATGGTCGGCAAGAATAAACGCTACAGGCTAGAATGTCACAGACCTCATGGGTTATAAAATTCTCTTACTGCCTTCAGCAACGCTTAAAGAGAGGTAGGTGGTTTGTCCCCATTTCAGAAGTGAAGACTCATTGTTCAGTTACTTCAAAGTGAAGCTAGTTTTTTGGGTCTTGACCTTCTCTCAGTCCCTGCTGCACCGAGATGGATTTGGATTACTGTTTTATTTTGATGTGAGAAAGCATAAGAAATTAGTAGCAAATAAGGCACAAGTAGTAGAATTAAGCTTGATGTAGAGGAAGGCCTGACTCAAGAGTTTAATGGGAATCAGCAGGAAGTAACGGTTAAGGGTCTAGGTTTAAGAATAAGAGGGCCTTCAGTTTGGGTCGTCTCTGCCTCCTGTTGTGGTGATAGTGAGGTGTGTTGGACTTTATAGGTAAAGAAGAGGCCATTGTGTAAGGTAGTTGTAAAGATTCATTCAGTGGGTTGTGCTTGAAGTGAATTTAGCAGTGTTTGGTAGCATCAGTGCTGACAATGAGCCGGTGTAGTTGACTATGTGCAAAGACGATGGTATATAAAGAGATGAAGCAATCAGAAACTTCTAAGAGAAGGTGGGCCTAGAAGGCTGGAGATAATCTGCTGGCTGACGGGGATACAACTGAGGAAGGGCCTTCCCAGCATGGCAGCGTGGGAGTGGAAGCCTGAGACTTGGGCAATAGTTGAAGAGACAAATAACCTGTCCCTTCTAGAGAACTATAGTGGCTTCTACTAGGCTGGTGAACTGTAAGAGAAGAGGTAGAGAATGAATAGCCATGCCCCATACAAGTTTTCTCCACTGCCACCCCTAGTCCTATGAGGTTGGAATCATTTTGCTGTGTTGAGCTTTAGAGACTTAGGGACTTGACCCAGGCCATCCTGTGAGGAAGTAGCTGAGCTGGGTTCTGAATCTGTGTCCTGAGGCTCTTTGATTGACTCTGCCCCTCACAGACATTCTGAAGCCAGTCAGGGCTGAATTTGATTAACAAGCTATGTCCCTTTTAAAATACCGGACTGATGGGGCTGGGGAGGTGGCTCAGTGGTAGAGCGCTTGCCTTGCATGCCTGAGGCCCTGGGTTCGATTCCTCAGCCCCACATAAGCAAAAAGAAAAAAGCCGGAAGTGGCGTTCTATGGCTCAAGTGGTAGAGCGCTAGCCTTGAGCTGAAGAGCTGAGGGACAGCATGCAGGCCCAGAGTTCAGGCCCCACGACTGGACCCCAAAAAAAAAAATACTGGACTGAGGCAGTGCGCAGTGGATCACATCTATAATTCCAGCTACCCAGAAGGTAGAGATGCAGAGGATCATGGTTCTATGCCAGCCCAGGCAAAAAAAAAGTAAGGGCCTCCATGTCAGTCAGTAAACCAGGTGTGGTGGTGAATGCCTGTCATGTCAGCTACTGGGGAGACTATGTGTAGGAGCATCATGGTCTGAAGCTGTCCCAGGCAAACACATGAGACCCTACCTGAAAAGTAACTAAGCTAAAAAAGGGCTGAGGGAAGGCCTCAAAAGTTAGAGTGCCTGCCCAGCAAGCGCAAGGCTCTGAGTTTAAACCCCAGTATCACAAAGAAAGCTGGTGGGGGGGGACAGGCAAGAGTAAGCAACTAGCTGGGCTCTTCTGTTTTGAAAGGCAGGAAAAATCACCCCGACCAGACCAGCTTGTGGGAAGTTTTCGTTGTCCTCGCTCCTTTAGCACTAATTTGTATTTTTAGGAACTTACACTGATCGCTGACTTGTATTGTTCTTCCCCCCCTAAGTCTTATCTTCCTGTCCCTCACTGGCTTGTGCCAATGTGGTGGAGATGCTGGGCAATGCTTGCATAGCATCTTGGAGTTGTAGATTTTGATAGGAGTGCAAGGAAACAAGGAGCTAGGAAGGGACTGGGCAGAGGGAGTCCTGCCCTGGGGAGATGTGACGAAACTGAGACCTGAGTTGGCCACTGTTTTCCCAGTCTCAGTCTGAAAGGAGAACAACTCCAGCACCTAGCCATGGCTTGCTGGGGACCCAGCAGAAGCTCGGACTGAAGCTGGCACTAGTGGCACATACCTATAATTGTAGGTACTCGGGAGGCTGAGATGCCAGGGGGAACGTCTTTAGCTTGACAAATACAAGAGATTCTTAATCTCCAATTAACTAGCAAGAAAACTGGAGCTTGGAACTGAGGCTTGAGTGGTAGAGCTCCAGTTGTGAGCAAAAAAAGCCAAGTAAGAGCCCAAGGCCCTGCGCTCCCCCCTCCCTCCCCCCCACACACAGAAGAGCCCAGAGTAGGGACTGGGAAGGTGGCTCAGTGGTA